TAGAATAGGTCTACAGCAACCCAGGCTGGCCGTAAAAGGCGACTATATGCTTGTCGTAAACGACGACTAACGGGATCGGGTGGTCAGGCTCGTTGACTTGGTTGATGCATGTCATCGATCCCAATTGCGTGGATCGATGCTCATGATATTAATCACTTGGTTTTCTGGTCCAGACTCGATTATTTACAGACCGCCGTCATATAGCTGGAATAGCGACGTTAAACAACAAACCAACTAGCTTCACCTGAATGTGAAGGGGCGATTTGTACGGTGGCCCATATCCGCCACTAGTGAGATCATTTTTCACTGTATGCCTCTATATTTTATCTGACGGTCGCCAAGTACCTCCACTGGTGAGATCAAATACCGAGGTTTACAGGGATAAATGATCACACCAGTTGAAGTATCTGGCGGCCGCAAGAAAGGTATTTGGCGGCCGCAAGATAAAATGTAGAGGCATACAGTGAAAAATGATCTCACCAGTGGCGGATATGGGCCACCGTAGATTTGTAATACTGCACTGGGGAACCTGCAGTCCCACGTATCAACACTATGGGCGACACTTGGGCGGTTGTTAGGCAGGTAGTTTGTGTATATCTGGTGGACGACACCAGCGGGGTGTCATTGTGTATGTGGCCATTGCGTAACGGTACATAATGCATATGTTAAATGTTTGGTAACATTTACAGACGGTGACTCTCTCACTGGAACAAAACGGAAACATGGATAGAAAATATGTCATTGCAATTGCTGTGTGTGTGACTGTGGTAGTCGTCATCGTCGCCATCGTCGTTGTCGTCGTGGCTCTGTTAATCAGACGTCGAAGGAGGGTTGTTCGTAAGTACTGACTATATGTACTTGTTGTAGAACTTCTGTTGTATACCCACACCACGACAGTTCTAATTGTAGTTGTTTGTTTGTTTACTGTTTAACATCGCACTCAGCAATATTCCAGCTGTATGACGACTTTCTGTGAATAAGCAAGTCTGGACCAGACAATCGAGTGATTAATTTTCATGGGTTGCTGAAGACCGATTCTACCCCGGGTGAATGAGAGAGTGAGTGAGTGAGTGAGCTGGGTTTAACGCCGCTTTTAACATTATTCCAGTGATATCACGGCGTGTCAGCTTAATGTGGGAGGAAAGCCAAAGGTAATGCAGGTCTCTACCACTTCAGTGAAACCCACGAGCACGGGTATGGTGCTGACAAACCAAGAAACATAATCAGGGACACAATTCTACCCCGGATCTTCACGGGTCTCTAATAACAGATAAACTGTTCGTGGGGGATATATTTACTCCTTTTTGTAACTATTCTGAAGTTGACGGTATTTCTCCAAGCCAGTATGAAGGAATTCATCAGATTATATAACTGATCATGACTCAGAATATGTGTATTGTGATTACAGTAGTTATGGTAAGAAACTTACATAATCCTGTTGTACGTTTGGTTTCCATACCTGAAATGAGAATGATGATTCTATTTACATATATTACTCATAAACTTACATAATCCTGTTGTACATTTGGTTTCCATACATGAAAATGAGAATGATGATTCTATTTACATATAGTACTCATAAACTTACATAATCCTGTTGTACATTTGGTTTCCATACATGAAATAAGAATGATGATTCTATTTGCATATAGTACTCATAAACTTACATAATCCTGTTGTACATTTGGTATCCATACATGAAATGAGAATGATGATTCTATTTACATATATTACTCATAAATTTACATAATCCTGTTGTACATTTGGTATCCATACATGAAATGAGATTGATAATTCTATTTACATATATTACTCATAATGGCGTCAGTGTGGTTGATTATCTACTAGCGTCTTCATAATTATATGCATACATTACAATATGTTGGGTTGGTACAGCTGGCAATTTATTTCACTTCACAAACTGCACATTTAACAAAGACACTGAGCTCATTACAAATAATGTCTCCCGAATGAAACTTCCGTCAATATATTTTCTCTCATGCACCTACACATATACATACAATGTAATCTATAGTAACGCTGTCGCTGCAATATATCACCTGACCAACATACACCAGGAAGCAGTTGAACGCACAGAGAAGGGTTAATGTGGTATTTGTGCTAAACATTCAACCACCCTGGTGGGAGCGAGATTTAGAACAGATAAACACGGAACAATATTCTACACTTAGGCCACTCAGAGATCATCTCTCTCTCTCTATCTCTCTCCCTCTCTCACTCTATGTGTGTCTCTCTCTCTCCCTCCCTCTCTCTCTCTCCCTCTCTCTCTCTCTCCCTCCCTCTTTCTCTCTCTCTCTCCCTCCCTCCCTCTCTCTCTCCCCTCTCTCTCTCCCTCTCTCTCCCCCTCTCTCTCCCCCTCTCTCTCTATATCTCTCTCTCTATCTATCTCTCTCTCTGTGAGATGTAGGACAGATAAACACGGAACAATATTCTACACTCAGAGATCGTGTTTTGACCTCTCTCTCTCCCTATCTCTCTCCCTATCTCTCTCTCCCTCTCTCTCTACCTCTCTCTGTGTGTCTCTCTCTCTCCCTCTCTCCCTCTCTCTCCCCTCTCTCTCCCCTCTCTCTCCCTCTCTCTCTCCCCTCTTTCTCTATCTCTCTCTCTATCTATCTCTGTGTGTGTGTGTGTGTGTCTCTCTCTCTGTCTGTCTCTCTCTCTCTCTTTGTTTTATGCTGACATTAGTAATAATATATCTGTAAGCCTTACACTTTTCACACGCAAATAAATCTCTTACAAAACAATAAGATGGATGTTATGTTTAACGCTGCCTTATATTTACATCAAGTAATTTTCTTTGATAGGCATTTAGAAGTTGAAGTAGTAAGTAAGGATAATATTTATGCATGAACAACTTCTTTATTACAATCAAGAGCGACGCTTCCGTGTAGGTTCTAACATCAAACAAGTGATAACGGTGTTAGAACCTACATTAAAACGTCGCTCTTAATTGTAATAAAGAAGTTCTTCATCCATAAATCTTATCCTTACTTATTAAGTAAACTGTTGAAACTAGGAACTGCAACCCATTTGCACTGATACATTTTCTACCAGGGCATTATACTGAATAAAACGTATGTGTGTCTATCAGAACGACATTATGTAAGTACGACTATCGCCGATATCTTGCGCGGACGACGCAAATCTATGACTAAAAGTCAAATTGTTAAATCTTCAGCGTCAGACAAAATGGTAATCAATTTTCTCTTCACTTATTCCTTATGGCTAAACAGACCAGAACAGGCCAGCAATATTCTTCAGCTATGACGTCACCGCATTTACACTTAGTCACGTGACGTCATGGCACTGTATGACGTCATCATGGAATGTCGCTGCACACGCTATTATCAACTTCTTGAAAAAACATATAAAACAGAATGATAATTTCTCATAGATGAACTGTTTATCCATATGTGGTTGGTATGTTCTAAAACGTTAACCACTCCTTTTATGTAAAAATGTAAACACGTGAGTGATTTCCCTATAAGCCTATTTATAGTGTGAATGGTGGTTCTGAAGTTCGTCTAGCGCAAAAGAATGTACGCTAGCCTCTCTCCCTTTCGTTTAGAAAGTTCGCTATCTTAGAAAACGTTCCCGGACAAGCCGACATCCTTAAAAGAATCCTGCTTTCAATATTTATCAGACAATGATATGATTAACAAACCACTGACAGAACATTTTATGTATTTCGAATCACCAATTCTTACTCCAGGTAGACGACAGCGACAACCACGACCACAAAGCTCAGTTTCTGCTGAGGACACGCTGCAAGTTAGTAAGTATGACCCAATTATTCTTCAGGATCCGAAGTAAATGGAATTTCTGAAATCTTCACGTCTTCCCAAGGCAAGGGATTTAACTGACTATAAAGTCCAGTTTCCACCCTCGCTGAAATAGGCTGGAATTCCGGAGTTACATTTTGGCTGGACCAACGAGTCTATGGATAGTCCAATCAAAATCGCGAAACGAACTAGACATCCGGTTTGTTAACAAGTGGATTTCAACGTGCAGAGTACGGTCATGCAAAGCGTGGGTATCAAAGTTAAAAAAACATGATTTTAACAAATGTTTCCACTGAGAATTAAAATAACAGTTATATGAAACAAAATGTTTGCCAAATTCAGATAACCGAACACATTACCTGTTATCAAAGACATAATTCGGATAGTTTAATGACTTAATAAAAATGTTACAGCCAATATTGTCAAATTATGCATTTTTTCCTTCAATTTATGCAATGTCGAGCCCCTGAAAATTCCCGCACACAATTGCAAACTTACTACCCAATGAAAATTGTGTACAGATACCTCCTTTATGCAATAGAAAAAGGTTTAAGGTGTACAGGAAAATGTGGGAACGAAAATCTTGTTTTTCAACCCTGGCCAAATGACTATGACTCAGTGCCGCCATTTTTTGAGTGAGTGACTGAGTGTATGAGTGGAAAGCCTGAAGTGATGCAAATCTCAGACGTTCACCGCTTTGGTGAAACCCATCAGTGTTGATATAGTGCTGAGAAACCCAGAAACATCATCAGGGCGAAACGGGATTCGAACACTCGATAAATGGTTTCTGGCACACCAAAGGGATGCACATCTGTACGACAAAATATGGCGCCTTGCGCCGTTGTATCACGAGAAGTGATGATGGTTGAACTTTGACACAACGAGACAGTATACATAAATAACATTTTAATGTGATGCTATTGATTTATAATTTTTTTCATCTGCCGACATAAATCATTTGGTGAAAAATATATCCTGTCAGATCTACCTTCCTTGTCTCCAAGTTACGAGGCTTTGTTTCAGACAATAACCAGGTAGATTGAATCAAACACCCTGAATAATTGTGAGAAAATACACATGTAGCTTTGTAAAACCACAGCGTACACATCTTGCGAATGCTCTGTTTCTACCGAATTAGCCGCGATGACATCGAAGAGAGATCAGGTAAGTCGTTATATCACACGGTAAGATTTCATCTGATGCTTTCACCCAGTTTAGATCTGGCCAGAAACTAATATCAGAGTTCAGTCTATTCACTCAGTTCGGATCTCGCCAGAAGCTAATCTCAGAGTTAAATCTTTTCACTCAGTTCGGATCTCGTATAAAAGTTAGCCAATAAACTGAGACCTCCAAGTTGTTCACAAAGTTAAAATTGCGTCTGAAGCTGTACAAACAGCTGCGCTCCCCACATGGAGTTTACATGCAAACGATGGAGATTACACAGCGAATACGCAACATCTTGGATTAGAACGTGTCCAGATTGTGCATGGTCCAGTCTCCATACAACAGGTCACTTCCGTTGCCGCCAAGATGTGTTTCTTGAAACAACGGTTAAACAATATTTCGGGCATTCAGTGTGAAATCTGAGCTAACAATACTAAGACATTACTGATATCTTGCAGGAAAAGACGACTTGGAGCTGAAAGGCATTCAAGGTGAAAAAGATAAAGGTAAACATGATGTCGGGTTCTCAATGTTCATCAATGTTGTAGGGCTCTCCATGATAGTTCCTCACTGTTGTAGGGCTCTCAATGGTAGTTCATCAATGTTGTAGGGCTCTCTATGGTAGTTCACCAATGCTGTAGGGCTCTCCATGATAGTTCACCAATGTTGTAGGGCTCTTAATGGTAGTTCACAAATGTTGTAGGGCTCTCAATGGTAGTTCACCAATGCTGTAGGGCTCTCCATGATAGTTCACCAATGTTGTAGGGCTCTTAATGGTAGTTCACAAATGTTGTAGGGCTCTCAATGGTAGTTCACCAATGCTGTAGGGCTCTCCATGATAGTTCCTCACTGTTGTAGGCCTCTCAATGGTAGTTCACCAATGCTGTAGGGCTCTCCATGATAGTTCCTCACTGTTGTAGGGCTCTCCATGATAGTTCATCAATGTTGTAGGGCTCTCCATGATAGTTCATCAATGCTGTAGGGCTCTCCATGATAGTTCATCAATGTTGTAGGGCTCTTAATGGTAGTTCACAAATGTTGTAGGGCTCTCAATGGTAGTTCACCAATGCTGTAGGGCTCTCCATGATAGTTCCTCTCTGTTGTAGGGCTCTCAATGGTAGTTCCCCAATGTTGTAGGGCTCTAAATGATAGTTCCTCACTGTTGTAGGGCTCTTAATGGTAGTTCATCAATGTTGTAGGGCTCTCAATGGTAGTTCACCAATGCTGTAGGGCTCTCCATGATAGTTCATCAATGTTGTAGGGCTCTTAATGGTAGTTCACCAATGTTGTAGGGCTCTCACTGGTAGTTCACCAATGTTGTAGGGCTCTCAATGATAGTTCACCACTGTTGTAGGGCTCTCACTGGTAGTTCATCAATGTTGTAAGGCGCTCAATGGTAGTTCACCAATGTGGTAGGGCTCTCACTGGTAGTTCACCAATGTTGTAGGGCTCTCAATGATAATTCCTCACTATGTTGGGTCCATTCACTGAACCTGCTACATTAAAATGACTGATCACTTCTCTCTGTTGTCAGCTATGTGCCCCCCGACACCTCCAGTTGGTGGAGTCGCTCCCCCGCGTCTCGATCCCATATAACGCCGGGCCAAGCTCACCACCAGCATCTACTGCACAGCACCTGCACAATCAACTGTATCATGAACTGCATAGACGTCAGACATTGTCCCCAGTATAGCAAGAACTGCACCCATGACACGTGTGTGTTGACACGTGACAACTGCTTGGACGTGACAGTTCACATTGTATGTGTGCATATTAAAACAGATCATGTTTTGAATAGGTGCGTGTGATGATGGATAAGTGTCGTGAAGTGACAACAGTGTCAGGCGTCAGCGAACTCGTCATGACCTTTGACAAATGAACCCGGATGTGACAGCATGAAGGCACCCGAAGCTCAGAGACCTTGAACGTGATATGATTTGACGACGACTGGTCCAGAGCACTGGCTTGGGAAATCCACACGTTGTTTGTGTATAGCGACAACAAAGTCAGAAGTCATTAACTCTCTCCAGGAACTTCTCCAGTGGAGTTGGTTACCTGATGTGCAGCCACCAGGGCCTCCAAGACAGCAGAGGTGGATGTTATATGATTTGACGGCAACTATACAGATCGGTTATTCGTCGAGGTTTCTAAGGTACATATATGCACACATACGCGGCGGCCATACAGTTTAAATCGATGTGCTATGTTTATGTTGAGTTGAAAATGTTAATTGAATGTACAAGGAAAGGCGATCACACAACAGAGGATATTACTGATGTATTGAACCTGTGTGGAGTTACAACAAAGAGTATTGCCGATGTACTACTGTGTGTGTTCAGCTACCACAAAGGATGTTATCGATGTGCTGTATATGTGTCGGGTTGCAACTAAGTTTGTTATCGATGTACGGTTTGCGTGTCGAGCAACCACAAAGAATGTTATCGATGTACCGTGTGTGTGTCAAGTTGCAACAAAGAATGTTAACGATGAACCGTTTGCGTGTCGAGCGACCACAAAGAATGTTATCGATGTACCGTGTGTGTGCAAAGTTGCAACAAAGAATGTGATCGAAGTACTGCACGTGTATCCAGTTTCGAGAAAGTATATTGTCGATGTACTGTGTGTGTGTCAAGTTTCGAGAAAGGATGTTATCGAAGTACTGTTCCTGTGTCAGGTTTTGAGAAAGGATGTTATCGAAGTTCTGTACGTGTGTCGAGTTTCGAGAAAGGATGTTGTCGATGTACTGTATGTGTGTTGAGTTTCTACAAACTATGTTATCAAAGTACTGTATGTGTGTTGAGTTTTGAGAAAGGATGTTATCAATGTGCTGTATATGTGTCAAGTTTCGAGAAAGGATGTTGTCGATGCACTGTATGAGTGTCGAGTAACAACAAAGGATGTTTTCGAAGTACTATGTGTGTTGAGTTACAACAAAGGATGTTTTCAAAGTACTGTATGTGTGTCGAGTTTAGCAAAAGGATGTTGTCGATGTAGTGTATGTGAGTCGGGTTCCCAGAAAGATGTTATCGATGTACTGTTTGTGTGTCCAGTTACAAGAAAGGTTATTATCGATGTATAATGTGTGTATGTGTGAGTGTGTTTGTGCGTGTATAAGTGTGTGTGTGTGTGTTTGTGTATATATGATATGATATTATAAAAATATATATATAAATATGTACTTGTTTGTTTGTTTGTTGTTCAGCGCCGCCTACAGCAAAAGACACTATGCAGAGAACTTCTAGTAACCAAAGACGCGAAGTCGCCTGTTCAGTTCTGGTGCTTGTTTATATATTATGTATCTGAAAGTTCATTATGATGTCTAATAGTTCAATTCTTCATATTTGCTTTATGGCAGTTTGTGTTGGCGACAACTGTTTTGTTGTTTTTTTCTAAAAGGAAGGGTCGGGTTAACTATTGGTTGTCGTGTGGACTATTAGTAGTGTGGACTGTCTGAAACGTATGGCAGACAGATACTGCAACATTCCTGTTCACATGCACACATTGTCCCGCGTAGATGCCGGGATACACTTGGTCTCCAGCACCCGATGCGGATCGTAAGAGGCGACTTGACAGATCGGTAGTCTGGGTTAATGGCGTGTCATACTCCGACGGTGTTGACCGCACCTCGTAATATCAATCACTTGATTATTTGGTCCAGACACGATTATTTACAGATCGCCGTCATATATCTGAGTATAGCTGACTGATTGAATGATTTCACTCGAAAGTATCCGTGCTCTGAGATGTTTAGGGGTATTTGTACTTAGTTTCATTACAATTGTTTTCAGGGCTGCATCCATTGTGTATATAAACTCTGCAAAAAAAACCGCAAAAGTTTTATATTTTATGCATCATATAAAAATCAACAGATTGTAATCGAATGTTCAAAATTGGCACACAGTAGATGTTCAAGGTCATCTGTTCTACATATCGTCTACGCCACCATTAGAGTCCAAAACTGACCGGCATCGTCGTCCCATGGAAGAAATCAGTTACCGAATTCTGGCCTGGGGAACTGTTCACCCATTCTACCTGCAGTGCTTGTGCCAACTGTCGGATGGCATGTGGGTGTTGCTGATGTGCTCGCAGTCGTTGATCCAGTGCATCTCATAAATGTTCGACTGGGTTTTATTCTGGAGACCTGGAGGGCCATCGCAGGATCTGGATGGTGTTATTCCTATTGAAGGCTGTTGTCAGTCTTGTTGACTACTGTGAGGTCAGGCGTTGTCTTGTTTGAAAATGACGTGTGGTCGAAGAATCTCATCCGTGTTACGCTGTGCCGTTAAGTTCCCAGGAACTTGCACCAAGTCTGTTCTACCAGTGCAGGAGATGGCTGCCCACATCGGCACACTTCCACCACCAAATCTGTCCACTTCCTGTATGCAGTTTCGTGTATAACGTTCCCCGTGTAAACACGACGCCTACCATCCACACGGCGAAGCATAAAACGTGATTCGTCACTAAAACAAATTTGTCTCCATCGCACCTTGACGTCGCAGTCGACGATGGAGCTCCGTCAAAATGACACCCGAACTGGTCATCTAGCGCGAATACCTTCAGCGCGTAAACAGTTCCTCAGTCTGGGCTGATATCTTACGCATCCCAACGATTTTATTACCAAACGAGTTACGTTGAACGTGCATGTCATATTGGTGTGTTTCGGCACCAGGCTCTCACGTGGTTGCGATTTTCCATCTTGTCACCAAATGTCTGCAGTACCTCATTCCACACTAGTTTCCACACAATTCAATCCCAATCCATGAAGAAATGTACACATTCATGTTTGATATAATTTTGTATGGATGTCGGCAACACTGTGACAGAATTTTACGATTTCTTTTTACATTTGCGTTTCTTTTTTTGCAGAGTATATGAACTGTATATTTTTCCTCACTGGAGAAACAAATGCAAACAGCACACGTTGTATTCATATGTGCAATGCACAGCTTTTACTGAATATTTGTGATATGATCCTCATAAAACTGTATCGGTGCGTTTGTTCTAATTTGAAAAAAAGAATCTATTTTGTCACAGTTTCTATTGGTCCCCAGCACTCTATTGTTGTTTTTGTATGAGACGACTAAATGTGGGTCGGATGGATAGGACTGGACTGGACTGGTCGATTGCGTGTGATGATACCCGACGGCGTTGGACGTTGCTCATGATATCAATCACTGGTTTGTCTTGACTTGATGTAATAACAGGCCATCGTGATACAGAAGGAAAATTGCTGATTATATATACACAAAAAACACTCATTTTAAAATTGTATAAGCTGCATTTGTACAGACCTGTGTGGGATACACCAATTACAAAACTACTACAAAACCACATCGGCACATCCCTTATTGTAACTCGACAACATCCTTTGGTGCATTGTAGCCTTTCCTCTTGTATCCCATTTATCATCTACATTATCGGTTTATTCTATATGGGCACTACGTATGTGTACATCAATTACGTCAACCTAAACGGAAGACCTGCATATAGTCATACACACGATATACATTGTTGACGTCAAATCTTAAGGCATTGTAGCGTGTCGATTCTCAATTTCTGACGTCTGTGCACTTCCTGATGTAGTTGATGGTGCAGGTGCTGTGCAGTAGATGCTGGTTGTGAGATTGTCCCGGCGTTATATGGGATCGAGACGCGGTGGAGAGGCTCCACCAACTGGAGGTGTCGGGGGACACATAGCTGACAACAGAGAAGGACAATCAGTCATTTCAATGTAGCAGGTTTAATTAATGAGTGAGTGAGTGAGTGAGTTGGGTTTAACGCCGCTTTTAACAGTATTCCAGTTATATCACGGCGTGTCAGCTTAATGTGGGAGGAAAGCCCGAAGTGCTGCAGGTCACAGACGTTTACCACTTCGGTGAAACCCACGAGCACGGGTATGGTGCTGACAAACCTAGAAACATAATAGGGGCAAACCGGGATTCGAACCCACAATCATAGGTTTCTGGCGTGCCCAAGGGACGCACAGCGCCTAAACAATGAACTTGCCAGATGCCTATCCGACAAGAATCGGTTACTGGGGTTTAGGTATACCCCGTCATGTCAACCATACAGGGTAAAGGTGCTTACTTGTCTGCATTAAGAGGGTTTAACATTTTTATGTACTTTGCCAACATTCTATATTATTTAAACAAATCCGCGTTAGATTTTATACCACGAGCCGGGGGCAATGTCAATATTATGTCGCAATGTCATAAAACCTGACGCGGGACGCAAAAGACACATAGGACCCCTCTTGATCCTGCTGCAACGAATGTATCTTACCGACATGTTTTACATGCTAAACTAAACGAATTAAAACAAATTCATAATTGATAGAAAACAGCTGATATTAACTCGTGCCATATTGACATTGACGCGAAAAAAGCATGCGGCTTTTTGCTTCTAAGCAGGGTATGAGAGATTTGTTCTGCCTCTCAGAAATCCACGTGCAGCCTGTTGTGCTCGTGGCGGGGTATAAGGCATTTATTCTCCAGCTGAGAAATTAATTTCCCTCCAAGGCTGGATACACATTTTAACAAGATCACGTGGACCAATCAGATCTCATCATTCTGACATGGAGGTATGGTAAATTATGTTACCTGTGATTGCCTCCCCTGTCGGGCTGTTGGTCACGCCTTTCAGCTCCATGTCGTCTTTTCCTGTAACAGAAGGGTGGTGTGTTATTATACGGTGTTCATCGGAATGACTAATGACCTGTAAAGAGTGTCGTAGCCCTTATGTTAAAAATTATGCTCCACTATGCAAGCTATCAAGAAACCTACGGCCGCAATGAAGGTTGCCGTTTTATCGTCAAAGATTTAACGCCGGGAGTATTCTGAAATCAGATTATAGGTTAAGAAAAGTATAGTGATTTAAGAGAGGAACCTGGAGATTTTCCAAATAAAGTTAAATATAAAACCGTAATAAAATAACTGGTACTAAAACATCTGACATACACTAATGGGGAGTGTTCTTAACCTGACATTTTCAGAATAGAAATTGAGGAAGAGGGGTTGAAAACCTTTATAATACAAGATATGTTTGATCTTTTCTGTAATCATTTTAATGCAAAGCAAAGGGAGTCATTTGGTCCCAGTAGGGGAGTTAGATGAGCCTAGAGGGAGTGTTTTGAGCCTGGCTAGGGGAGTCATTTGAGCCTAGGCCCATATGACTCAAGAGTCAAATTTAAGGGGAGTCGTTTGAGCCTATTACACCGGGTCTTTATATAATCGAGTCATGGTCATGCACAGTGCGCACACATTCTAATCGGGTACCTAACGTCAGTAGAAGAGACCTACTTGTCTGATCATGTTAAGATCTCAGGTATTCCCTCTGTACTAGACATTGTTTGAATGTAAAATCCGTGTGAGCAGATTCAGTTGTGACTTCAACTTTGTGAACGACTTGAGGCGTGATCTCAACTGTGATCTCAATTTTAGACGAGATCTCAGGGGTATGAATATTACTAGGTGAGATACCAGCCGTCTTAACAACTTTAGATAAGATCTCAGCGTTATCAATATTTTAGGTGAGATATCAACTGTCTTAACAACTTTAGATGAGATCTCAGCAGCATGAATATTTTAGATTGGATATCAGCTGTGTAAACATCTTCAGGCGAGATCCAAACTATGTGAAGTGCTTCATATGACATCTAAACTGTGATATAACCGCATACCTGATCTCTCCACGATGTCATCGCGGCTGATTCGATAATTCTTTGCTGCCCCTGGACAAAAAAACAGAGCATTCGCACAATGTACAGCTTATTACAATCAGCAGAGCTTCACATAATATCAATCAATATTATCACGTTGTTTTCTTACTATTTCTCAAGGGCGGTCAGGTAGCCTAATGGTTGAAGCGTTCGCTCGTCACGCCGAAGACCCGGGTTCGATTTCCAACACAGGTACTATGTGTGAAGCCGATTTCTGGTGTCCCCCGCCGTGATATTGCTGGAATATTGCTAAAAGCCGCGTAAAATCAAACTCACTCACTCACTCATTCATTCGGCACAGTGAAGACACTGAAGGTAGTTCTGGCAGGATGGGCAAAGCTTCACTCAATTAGTCTTTCCATTATGTTTGCAAATAGAATATTTGTTAATCACAAAACAAAACAAAATACATATTCATTCATACTTACTAACTTGAACGGTGCTCTCAACAGAAACTGAGCTCTGTGGTCGTGGTCGTTGTCTACCTAGAAAAAGAATTGGTCAATTGTTAATTCTATCATTGTCTGATACATATATAAAGTAGGAATCTTTCTTTAATGATGTCCTCTGGTCTCTATTCGGAATATGATTATAAAATTTAAATGATTAGATGTAACTTTCCACTTGAAAAGTGAAGGGGTTTATGTGCTTTTTCTATGTAGTATTTAGTGAGTGAGTGAGTTTGATTTTACGCCGCTTTTAGCAATATTCCAGCAATATCGCGGCGGGGGACACCAGAAATGGGCTTCACATATTGTACCCATGCCGGGAATCGAACTAGGGTCTTCGAGCCAACGCTTTAACCACTAGCCTGCCCGATATCCCCCAATAGTATTTAACTTTATAGGATAAAGAAACCACGCGTTCATCCGTAAGAAATCATCATATTTACTATATATTCCACTGATGATGAATACAGTTTCATGGCATCCCACGACCAAGTTTATATGTGCGGAAGCCTAATGGTGCCCCTTTGGTAGCATATGTTTTTGAAATAGAAATTTCTCTCCATTTTAATTATTGGTTGTTAAGCCTTAGTGTTTGTACCATGAGTCAATAATTTCACCCTTACATACCATTTCTCATAAGAGCGAAGTAGAACACCATGTCAAAATAATATGACTATATTTTTCGAGATTTACTTTCATACCTGTTTCATTATAATATGTCAAGGGCATCTATCTTTTTATCAAATACAACAATCTGAAGGGGAAGGGATTGTTGTTGCCTGAGAGAAGGAAATACCATCAGCAAACCAATTATTAATGGCAGGAGTTTTAAATATTCCCCACACCCTCACTATCAACGAGAGTACATAAGTGACTAGTGACTAGTGACTAGCCTAGTGGTCAAAGCGTTCGTTCGTCACGAAGACAACCCGGGTTCGTTTCCCACATGGGTACAATGTGTGAAGCTCATATGTAGTGTCCCCCGCCGTGATATTGCTGGAATATTGCTAAAAGCGGCGTTAAACCATGCTTGCAGACTCATTTAACAGCTCTTCCTATTGATTTAGGATCGGTCGGTTAGCCTTGTGGTTAAAGCGTTGGCTCGACCCGCCGAAGACCCGGGTTCGATTCCCGAAATAGGTACGATGTGTGAAGCCCTTTCCGCCGTGATATTGCAGGAATATTGCTAAAAGCGGCGTAAAACCATACTCACTCACTGACTCTCTTTTAATGTTCACTTCAACGGTGGTCGTAACCCATAAAAACATTAACTCGAAGTCACACGTTTTTCTCATGCCGGCGTCGAATCCCGTTGAATCATGAAACTGTCACAACACTAAAGTAAAGAATCCTTCATGTCATACAATGCTGCTTGGGCCTAAAAACGGTAGTCGTCCTTCAGTCAAGGTGTTACCGTTGACAATCACGTTGGACCATCAGGCTCATTCTCTGTAAAACTATAGGTCAGTGTTGAACAACATCATAGATCGGGGTTGTCTGGCTCCCTGCAGCTTGTCAGCGGGACAGAGACTGTCAACAATTACTTTGGCAGCTACTGATAGTAGTGACGAGTAACCGCGACGTAGGCCAAGCTCAGACACCTCAAGTTCGGAGTGGAGAGGTAGTTACGTTGAATAACTATTATTTAAAAGGGGTCACTAATAAGACATACACAAATGTGAAATAAATAACAGAATATGTTCATAATAGAGTGTGTTGAGAAACATTTTTTTTAGCGTCTTTTCTTCATTTGAAATAAACCGTGAAACAAGCAAGTGAATAATTACTTCTTTGATAGGCATTTAGAAGTTGGAGTACTAAGTAAGGATAAGAATTTATGGATGAACAACTTCTTTGTTACGAGCGACGTTTCAGTGTAGGTTCTAACACCGTTATCAAGCAAGTGCTAACGGTGTTAGAACCTACACCGAAACGTCGCTCTAAATTGCAATAAAGAAGTTGTTCATCCACAAATTCTTATCCTTACTTAATTGAATAATTATACAATATTGTTTTCCATGAAACCACTTAGTTGGGTCCAGGCACATGATGCAATGGTGGTATGCTACAGGTTGCGATGAAATTAAAACATCGTTGCAGGGTCAAACAACATGTATGTGTTTACAAGCGTTATTATGAAGTAGTTAAGAATATGTGTATTTTAATTTGGACCTCTGTAATAATTGCCACAGTAGGATAGCGGAACGATGTACCTATGTGTAATGACACGTGTCAAAACACGTTATAAAGCGTTCTAAGTCATTGTATAATGGCGATTAACTTCCTGTGGTTAAAATTTGAGGTCGTCTCGCTGTAGAATCGATACCTTCGTATTTTAAATTGAAACCTCGTGCAAAAGTGTTCGGTGCCAAATTATAAATATTGATTCTATGGTGACTACAAAGTCAAAGCACAGTAGGGTTTCTTTTAGGGTTTAGTTTTGTGAGGTCGTGTGCTTTGGGTATACAATATAAGTCCTACAACCAGTACCTATAGTCAGTACTTACGAACAACCCTCCTCCGACGTCTGATTAACAGAGCCACGACGACAACGACGATGATGATGATGACGACTATCACAGTCACACATACAGCAATTGCTATGACATATTTTCTATCCATGGTTCCGTTGGTCCACTGCAGGAATCAACTTCTGCTAATAATACAAACAAATTAGTCTGCATGTTATTAAACAGTTAAGCATTTACGCAAATTTGACCTCCACACTGTAGCTATAACTGACAAGCCCTTCTATTACGCAATGACCCTGATAAACAAAATGGAACGTGCTTCATCGGGGGGGGTGGGGGGGGGGGGGGGGGGGGGTGGGGGGGGGAAGGGGGGGGGGGCAAATTTAAAAATGATTCAGTTGAATTCTAGGATGCACTCCATAAAATAATATTCACTTTGCTCTTTATGCAAAGATAATGCTTGCGATTTAACAAAAACCTGGGGATACGCCTTCTGAAACAGACAAAGAGTTTCTTCTGCCATTTAGGCACCAAAGCCCATAGTACAATGCAGATTGGATATTAACATTAACAGCTCTTCATGAGAGGAAGGTATTACGACTTTCAATGTTGACATTTCAGAATTGCATCATCCAAACTTTATGACGACATGTGCCACTTGTGCGGTCGTAACAGAATGCATGGCTTATTAAATAGGGGTTTGGGTGGTGTGTTTCCTTCATGTTTTGACTACGGATGGTGCGGATCAGTCCTCTTGCTTTCAATCACTGTTGTTTCTGTTCAGGTCAGATATGGTTAGAGTTTCACTGACTACGGCGCTGAACAACATTCACTCACTTAATCACCTTTATATAGGACTGTTCTCATCTAGCGACACATTTTATTTTTCACCAGATTTAGTTAAATTAGCGGATTAGAGTGTTCTTTCGGAAAGGAGATAAATTGGACGGTCCTGAATCTTGAGCTGGTCTGAGTCTTGGTTTCTCTTGATAAGTTCATTACTGAAACAGTTGAACAGTTTAGATACGAAACACAAGTCCTATATTCCCCACTGACCAATATCACAGACGTCAGCAACCTTCGTTTAGCAAATTTAACATGCAAAACAATCATTATGTCCACCTGTTTGTAAACTGTACCCACATTAAGGAGTTCCCTCTTATCAAGACACTTACGGCAAGTGAAGCATGACATATGTGCACGTAATGTTTTTGGAATTTTACCAACACTCATCAAGGGCCCGGTTCTGTAGTTCCGCGGCCCTTAAGAAGGATGATAAACAGGACTATGCAATACGAGCTCTACCCGCAACAAGGAAGTAAAATGGTGACATTAGATTGTCTCACAGCGGGGTTAGTAAATAGAGCCGAGCGGGTTACTTGGAGAACTCTACACGCTGGTTGTAGTCATTTGTACTCAACCGGTGTATTTTACACTAGGCCACCCAATGTATGCATATCAATGTCTTCACTCCACAAAGATGAAACTGGGTAGGTCATGTCGATTTAAATGACGGCGTGTTCTGTTTTGCATTAGGGAGTCATCCTGTCCCGCCTCATAAACGCACCTTTCCCACTATAGCATGTCGCAAATCCCATCTTCCCAACTAAAGCTTGTTGCTCGTCCCGCCTTTAACACATAACAAGTCACATCTTTGAATGTGTCGTCTATAACATATCACTACATCCTGAACATAAACTCGTTATCCTGTCCTATTCAACCTGCAGCACATCAAACACTTACCTGCCGTGTGTTTTCCTCTATATCCTGTCAACGACAACAGAATATTCCTTTAAACAACATCAGACCATTTCCATAGACAATAGCGGAATATCCTTAAAGAAGCCACAAGTGTTTCACTGCTCACTGTTGGCAACAGAAGTGTATACTTTTCGACAGCACAAACAGCATCCGCTTAGACAACAGCACTGTATCTCTTCTTACAACAGCAGGGTATCCCTTATCAGTGTGTTAGACGCAAACAGTCTCTTCACTATCTCTCAGTTACGCTCGGTTCTGCATCAGAGACGACGTGGCCTTCTCGCACACAATAGGTAGCATGTGTAGTGCACGTATTTGTGAGGTACACGACATTACAACACCTTTATAGCATGTCGCCCGTTCAATTTCCTCTCTATAGGACGAGGACCATCTGACTTTCCTCTATAGCATGTCGCCCATCCCACCTTCCCAACTATAGCTTGTCGCTCGTCCCGCCTTGAACACATAACAAGTCACATCTTTGAATGTGTCGTCTATAACATATCACTACTTCCTAAACATAAACTCGTTATCCTGTCCTATTCAACCTGCGGCACATCACACACTTATCTGCTTCATGTTTTCCTCTATATCCTGTCAACGACAACAGAATATTCCTTTAAACAACATCAGACCATTTCCATAGACAATAGCGGAATATCCATAAATAAGCCACAAGTGTTTCACTGCTCACTGTTGGCAACAAAAGTGTATACTTTTCGACAGCACAAGCAGCATCCACTTAGACAACAGCACTGTATCCCTTCTGACAACAGCAGGGTATCCCTTATTGGTGTGTTAGACACAAACAGTCTCCTCACTATCTGTCAGGGACGTTCGGTTCTGCATCAGAGACGACGTGGCCTTCTCGCACACAATAAGAGGCATATGTAATGCAAGTATTTGTGAGGTACACTAAAATTAGGACACCTTTAAAGCATGTCGCCCGTTAACTTTCCACTCTATAGGACGCGTACCGTCTGACTTTCCCCTCTATAGGACGTGGACCGTCTGACTTTCCTCTCTATAGGACGTGGACCGTCTGACTTTCCCCTCTATAGGTCGTGGACCGTCTGACTTTCCTCTCTATAGGACGTGGACCATCTGACTTTACCTTCTATAGGACGTGGACCGTCTGACTTTCCTCTCTATAGGACGTGGACCGTCTGACTTTCCTCTCTATAGGACGTGGACCATCTGACTTTACCTTCTATAGGACGTGGACCGTCTGACTTTCCCCTCTATAGGAGTGAGTGAGTTAGTTAAATTTTGGGGTCACATCGGCTATATTTCAGCCATATCGTGACTTTCAAAGGTTATATATACAATAAATACATGTAAACTATAAAAAAAACTGTCAACAACGGGCCAGTACAATAACAAGACTTATCACAGATTATGATTTAAAACTAGCATAGAAACATAAAATGACATCAGTAGACCGGACAAAACATTATAAAAAAGAACTATAGATCAGCAGCAACTGAAGGTAGATCACCATACTGGGGACCATAGGTACTTACAGTACTTTAGCTTCCTGCATAAACCCAAGCACCCTTCAGGTGTTGGTGATAACTGTCAATTTAGCCAAATTAAAAGAACACATTTTCTGCTATTAAAACCGTGGCAGTAATAAATATACTGTGACTGACGTGGACTTACGTACCATCTCCGGGGGACAATCCTTTTACACTACTTCAATCCCCTTCGAGGTACAGCCACTATCAATCTTAGTTATCTAATTCATTCTACCAATATTTAAAAATCATTTATTTATTACAAAACACATGTATCAAGAATTATTTAACAGTTCTATTTCTTTTAAAAATACTAGGGATTAAATGAGAGGTTATATTGTTAAAAAGATACTTTAAAGATGGAGCTTTGAAAAACTGATCCCTTGTGATGGAAAAAATCACTCCAGTTAAGCAGGACATGCTTGACTGTGATTCTCTCATCACAAGGGATACAGGATGAAGGATCCTCACCTTTCAACAGATATTCATTTGTGTAACGAGTATGGCCAATACGACATCGTCGTAAAATGACCTCTTTAAATCTGGACTGACAACCCAAGTAGGTGTATCCGATATTTGGTTTAATATCATGTAATTTATTTATACCTACCTGGGTGTCCTACTTCTTTTGCATCAGATCTCGGATGTAACATATCTAATTACAGGTTTGAAATTGCTGTATGGGACAAGAAGTGGTGTCACAGATTTGTTGAGTGCTGCCTTCGCAGCAGCATCGGCCATTGTGTTCCCAGTGATTCAAACATGGCTGGGTAACCAACAGAAAATGATGTCGTAATTGCCAGTAGTAAGATGATTAAACAATTCAATAATTTCTATTAAAAAAGGATGTGTGGAAGACGCGAGAGAGAAAGAGAAAGAGAGTCTTTATGTTTAGTTTGGTTGTCGATATAATTTAGTGCTGTTAGAATAGCATTTGCTTCTGCTGTGAAAATAGAACAGTTTTCTCGGGGGGAGATAGTCCTGAATCCATTGACGGTGGCACTGGCAAAACCACCACCATCCTTGGATCCAAATATAGATTTGTAAGTATCATTTGCTCTTCGTTATTCATTATATTGCTGTTGATAAATTAGTTGATAAGTGTCAGTGTCATTTCTTGAGTTTAGGTCCGCAACTGGCTTCACTAACTGCCATGGGGTAGAAGAGAAAAGCTGAGTTGGGGCAATGTTTCCAAGACTAATTTGCGCAGCAGAGATATCAGATTGTATTCTTATTCCAAGGGGTGGATTAAGAGAAGATTTTTTATTATATAGTTATCGTAAAGAGGATTAAAAACACAGTCATACACTGGATCAGATTTAGGAAAACGTAATTTAGAGATATACTGTAAAGATAATTTTATGCGACGGTGTTTTGGGGATGGCACCAAGGTACCAAGGCAAAGCCTCAGGCAATGGTGATGAATGGTATCTAATAATTTTAAATTGCTTTTCTGGGTCTTTGTAAGGTTTGTATTTTCTGCAAAAATGAATACAGTTAGTTTTAGATTTGGAAAGTTTAAAACAATTTTCAAGACACCATTTATGGATTTTATTGAAACACAATTGCATTTGCCTCTCAATTGTATGCATGTTCTTGCCATTGCAAAAAACATTAAAGTCATCCACAAACAACGATCCATCAATTGAATCGTTTAAAACCTTTGATAAATTGTTGATGTTGATGCTAAAAAAGTGACAGACAAAATACTGCCATGTGGGACACCCTGATTCTGACTATAATGATCAGACAGGGTTGAACCCACGCGGACGTGAAATTGCCGGTCAATTAAAAACTTGGATATAAATTGATGCAAACGGCTTCACAATCCCAAATCCTGTAAATCTTTTAAAATACCGTGTTTCCATGTTGTGTCATATGCTTTTTCTAAAAGTTAGACAGTGCATGTTGTTTGTTTATAATGGCATTCTTGACGAATGACTCCAATCAAACTGAATGATCAATGGTACTGCTATTTTTACGAAAACGACATTGTATATAATATGATTAAATTATTGGATTCTAAGTACCAAGTTAATCTATTATCGACCATGCGTTCCATGGTTTTGCAAATGCAGGTAGTCAATGAAATGGGTCGATAATTGGAAGGATCAGGCTCAGGTATGGGAACAACGATAGCTTCACGCCATGAAGAAGGAAATTCTCCTTACGTCCAGATTTTATCAAATGTTATCAAAAGGGTTTTAACATGGCGGTAAATGTTTTAAGTGTTGATAATGTATATTATAAGAACCTGAAGCAGTGTAAAGACCTTGCCCAAGTGCAGTATAGAGCTCATGAATGAAAAAGACTTCATTGTAATCTTCCCCGTCATCTGTACTAAAATTTAAAGGTTTCCTTTCATGCAGCTTTTTGAATTTTTGAAATTGAGGGACATAATTAGACAAGGAAGAATGTGGAGCAAGTTGATTTCCAATATCTGATGTATCAGTTAATAAGTGACCCCCATCTTTAAGATGGTGGATGCTTGATTTAGTACCCTTATCTTTTATTTTCTGAATCAAGTTCAATACCTTGGACATTGGCCTCCGTGAATTTATCTTGGATACATTATTTTACCAAAATTGGCATTTGTTTTGTTTGAAAATGCGCCGGGATTCAGCTTTTACAATTTTGAATTTATTGAGGTTACGGGCCATTGGATGTCGCTGGAAATATTTTTCAGCTTTTTTTCTGTACCTTTCCAGCTAGTTTTCAATCATTGTTGAACCATGGTTTACGTATGTGAGGATTTGAGGAGGACTTCGGAATACGTTCATAAGCCATTTTAGTAAGTTCATCAGAGAAAAGGTGTATAGGGTCGGGAACATCAATAAAAACTTAGGTTTTAGTTTGGTAGAACAAAGGACTTCATATAACGCCCAGTTGGCTTTAGTAAATTCCATCGTGATGATTGGGGAACATCAGGTGGCGTAACTGATTTTAAAATGGTAGGAAAATGGTCACTTCCACAGGGGTCATCGTGGCCTGACCTTTCAAATTCATGAAGTAAATTAGAATGTACAACTGACAAGTCCAAACAAGAGTATGATCCAATTGCAGGATGAAAATATGCGTGAGAACCATCATTAAAAAGGCATGACTCGTTTTTTAAGAAGAAAACCCCTCCTCTATTTATTTCTCTTTTGTGTTGGTTACATTATTACCCCAAAGTGGGTTATGACCATTCACATCTCTCATGATGACACAGTTCTTAGAGAGTTGGTTATACATTGCCTGAAGATCAGACTGTCGGAGAGAGTATGATGGTGGTACATACAAAGAACACAAAGTCAAAACAATATTTAATGTTACCCGTACTGCAACAGGCTGAGGAGGGGTATTGAGAGGAACAGGACTGTGAATGATGCCCTGCCTAACCAGAACAGAAGGTCCTCCAGTTGCGTTATTAGAATCATACTGTCTTAAATCAAATTTATCAGTAGTTTTGAGGAAAGTTAAACAAAATGTAGATGGTTTAAGATCTTGAATTAAGAGCTGAAGATCATTAAAATTGTTCCAAAGTCCTCTACAATGCCATTGTATTATATTGTGAGAGGAATTTGGGGGTTCAATTGGAGATCGTGAGCCTGGAGAAGTTCCTCTTTGCTGTAATGGCATATCAAGAGGTTCAAAGGGGTTTTGAACCTCCAGAGGGACTGTCAAAGCTGAAGGCATCTTAATATGTTTAAGTGCCTAGGATTCGTTTTTTCTTTGTTGTTTCCTTTCTTTTCTGGAAAGTGGTGCATTGCTTTCTACTTCATTTACTGGCCCAGATTGAGTTTCAGGATCAGTTTCAGTTTGTGATGTTGAGGGAGTTGATTTGAATGAAGTGCTGGATGAAGTGCTGGTGTTGTCTGCATCAATTTGATATCATGTTGTCTGCTCATTTGATTCCCAGCTGATAGCTGTTTGGCATCCTGTATCAACTTTGACAGAAAAGGAGACTGCAGAAGAGTAGGCCAGAGAAGAGGTGGGAGTGGTTGATTGACTTATAAAAGTTATCTTAGCTTCTGAGCACGAGATATCGTTGGTATATTTGATTTTTAGGATTTTAGTTTGTGTCACAAAAGAGGGACATGATTTTGAGGAAGAATTGGTCACCGGTGCAGTTTGCACATTTGATGTTATCTCTGCAGTCAGTGCCATCGTGCTGCTTACTGCAATGGGAACAAATTGCTGAATTACGACAGGACTTAGCGCCATGCCCGAATTGCTGACATATAAAACAACAGAGCTGTTTTGGTATGTACACATCCACTACAATCTTGAAATATCCAGCTTTGATGGATGAAGGCACTTTTGTTAAAGGAAATGTAA